AGATTATATATATACATATTCTCACCATCAGCAGAGAATCAGAAGTGGAATAGTATGTCTGAATTTGTCATTGTCTTAGATAGGGAATACAGAGAAAATAACCCTTTTGCTAATATCTGCATCTTGGTGTTCCATAGCAACTAAAGTAACTTTAAATTGAAATACAGGAAGACCTAGACCATAGTAAAGTTCTTCTTAGTTTTGACAGGCTCTAAGTCCTCATGTTTATATCCATTTTTAACTAAAAAATAAATATATGAAAAAAATAGAACTATGTGTTTTAAATGGGACCAAAGGTACAATTTGGGGGTCTTTTTACTTCTGAAGTCATTCAAATGCATAATTTAAAAAAATTATAATTGTATCCATTCCACAAGTATTTGAAAATATCGTTTTCCAGATTATGAAAGTAATGCATACTCTAAAATGCCTTTTCTTTTCCTTAACTTCAATGATATGCTAAGTATAGTTCTAAGGCCCTGGAAGTTCTCCCTTTTCTGAGGATACATTCCAAGACCCCAGTGGATGCCTGAAACCATGGATAGTACCTAACCTGATACTGCTTTTCTATACATACAAACCTATGATAGTTTATGTATAAATTAGGCACAATAAGAGATTAACAGTACCTAATGATCAAATAGAACAATTATAATGATATACCATCATAAAAGTTAATGAGAATGTAATATTTCTCTCCAGCAAAAAAATTTTTTTTCCTTCACAATTTCACGGATAGATTACTGTAGATCTTAGCAATCTCAGCATACGATTTTTTTTTTTTAGAACTTTCACCTTTTCACTTTAAGTACTATGTGACAAAGACTTCTTTTTTGGCATATTTGAATTGCCAGCATTGCTACTCTTGAGTTTTGGGGCCATTATTACGTAAGAATCACTGGAACACAAGCACTGCAATACTGTGACAGTAAATCTAATAACTGAGACAGGTACTGATAATGGGTTGGGAGTGTGTACAGTGTGGACACGCTGGACAGAGATGATTCATGCCCCAGGTGGACAGCACAAGATTTTATCACGCTACTCAAAACGGTGCACAATTTAAAACTTATGAATTGTTTATTTCTAGAATTTTCCATTTAATATTTTTAGACCACGGTTGACTGTGGGTAACTGAAACTGTGGAAAATGAAACCACAGAGGGCCTACCGTAGTAATGAACAATTCTTGGGACTTATTTTCAACATTGTGAAAGTCTGGTAGAAATCACATATTTAAAAAATCAGCACAACTTAACAAAATCGTTTTTGATTTTAACTGGCATTATAGTAACTTGGTGGCATGATACTATCACATACTGTAGAAGTTCTGACAGCTATAGGCCTTTAATCAAAATATCATCACATTAATGAGCAATATATTTGACAAGTACAGCCATTCAAAACACATAGTCCATAGGGAGAAAATATTTAAAAGGTTTCCTGGTATTAAAAAATGTTGCAACTACTCTAATACCACGGAGCCCCCACTACGACACCCTCTCATTTCATCCCTCTGCTTGCATAATCTATGAAAAACCTGTGTTAATGTCTCATGGTTTAAATAATCAATCAATTCTATTGGGCATTTTTCTCATGGGAACAAGTAGTTGCTCTAGATAATCCAGGCTTCATTTTCAGAGGAACAAGAATCAATCAATTATAATAAAATCTTACTTTCCTGCAAAAGATATCAGCGCTCATAAATTAATTGTATTAAAGACTGCTGACCAGTCTTAATGCTTAAAATTCATTCCCAGAACAAATAGTTCCATTCAAAATCTAGGCCTCAGAGATGCTTAATAGTAGCAACTTTATAGAAATTTAATAGTATCCAAAATGTAATAAGTTGGTACTTTCAATTAGCTGACTTCCCCAACTTGAAAAATCAGGGGATAGATCAAGGTTTTTCGCATAGGGCCTTTTGTGGAATTGGCCATTACTGTCTCTCACCAATAGAACAATCGCCCTATAGAGTATTCTGCAGCCAACACACATAAATACCCAAGTACTATATGAAGAAAACTACCTTTGTGCAACCTCAACAATGCCAGCAAATTCAATAAATTTTAGTCAGGTACCATAAAAGCAATTTTGAGCCTTTAAATGACTTTCGGAAAAGTCTGTAATTTCCTAGAAATTACATTTAAAAGACATTTTTTGTCTGAAGAGAATCTTTTGGTGTCTCACAAGATCACCATTGGAATATGAGAAAATTTGCCAGGATAGTTTCTCACATAACTTGTGCTGGTCTTTGATAAACTATTCTTACATTGCTTTTCGAAATTCCTAAATTTTAAGTAACAAATCAGATTACTTTGACCACCTTTTTTCAAACTACACATCAGCCCCACCACCCTGAGATTGATATCCCTCTCATCTTAAATGAGTAGAGGAATCAAACCAGAGATTAAACTGCCACTATCAAGTTAACCTCAATTAAATCTTCAGAATGTTCAGCATTACTCTATAATCTCCAGAACATCACTATATTCTTTCCTAGTTTATAAAAAGCAGTGGTTGAAGTGTTGTTATTCAATCAAAACTTGCCAAAATTCCACATCCAATTTGACTACGTACAAAATACCAAAACTTTCCCCACACCAATTGTACAACAGCCATTTTTATGGACGACACATTTTTTTAGTTTATACGTTTCAAGTTTTAGTGTATTGATTGTCTCAACAAACTCATGAAGTCAATCAGTTAAGAATCTACACCACCTTGACCACAACTCTGGCTAATATGCTTAAACGACTATATAGTTGCACTGATTTTGCTCAGTAAATTTAAACCACAGATGGCAGTTCTATTAGGTTGGGAAGTTTGAGGAATTTTTGGAGAATATTTCCTGGTTTTACTCAATGGTAGGATCAATTCAAATGGTATACATTCATTTCCTGTAACTAAAAATTGTAGATACCTAGTGTCCTTGAATCACCTTTTTAATCAGTAAGTTTACCATTTGTGGTTGACCTACCAAACTTGGCAATGGGAAGTGAAAATTTTCAGATGCCTTATTAAAATTTATGAAGATTAGCACAGGGTCCAGTGAGACTATGGAAATTACTAAGGTTTCTGTTAAGATGAACACCACCACATAAAACTTGGCTAAAACAATTCAGGAATATTCAACACATACAAGCTAGTTTAGAATGTTTATCAGCTGAGATTTTCTACCTCCGCCCCTTCAATTGTCCGATAGCTTAAGCTCTTGAATACTTAGGAATGAAACCTTGACACTAACTTTACTGTTCACCCAAATTGAAGTGCCTACAGAACTTGGCCTTGGCATATTTATTTCTAATTTACTTCAGTTGACATTTAATTCAGCCTAAAATCTAGTTGAGTCCAAAGCCCCTGAGGGGGTAAGGGGAGAGTACCTTCTCACTTCCCTTTCAATTCTTTTAAGAAAACTAAATCATCTCTAGATGTAGTGTATTTCTCAAATGTCATATATATCAAGACTTGATTGAAGAGTTTGGATTTTGTTTAAAAAGCCTTTATTCATTTTTGATCAGGGAAAGGACAATCTCAATGTCAACTTGTCACCTAATCATAAACTTCAACTTACAGGATTCACTGCCCTAAAGACACTGTACCTACTGACTTTGACAACATAACTTAAAATGGAAAGTATCCCTTCTGTCCCTTAGGGTTACGCTGAAAAGAATAAAGAGAATCCCTCGCAATAGCCAACATTGGTACTTGGCCTAGGTTAAGGTGAAAACAGCAACAGGAGCAAAACAAGGAAGGCCAAGCCAAGAGCATTTTAACTTGATAGTCCAGGGAGTACAAACATCATTAACAAAGAAAAGTTGCAGGCACCCAATAAAACAAAAAAGGCAGGTTCATCAGCATAAGTTTACACTCGGTTGAAAAGTGCAGATCAACTATTCCACATATGAACATGTACGCCAATCCTTAATGGCTAAAAAAAAACCAGAGACAAAACTTAAAAACCTTATTAAATCCAGTTAACTATACTGAATAGAAAATTCAAAGCTTGGATTTACCCAGGAAATCCTCCAAAATCTAGAGCTAAAACTGCTTTTTAATGCACCAGGAAGAATTGCTGTAATGACAGGACTTGGTCACATCTAGATTTGCATTAACATATGTAAGATTTAAAGCATATCTTTTCCTACTACTCCTATGTCTGATTATGGATATGCTTAGCTACTCGGCTCATGCACTAACTGCATTAATAATGATGAAATCTACTATGGCTTTTTCTAAAAGCTCACACCACATAACAGTTAATATCCAATATAGCTTCCTAAGAACACCCCAAAAGAAAACACTATTGAATTTGGTGCTTGCTGTGCCATACCAAGAATACAACAAATTTACTTAGCCAGTACCTCAAATATCTGAATCTAATAACTCATACCCACCTGCCAAAATCCTTGTAATAACTATTTTTGATACTTTCAAACTGTAGCTCCTACAAGTTTAACAAGGCCTTTTCCCTGGGTATATCTGGACATTCTAATCTAGAGTTAAAATCATGGTATTATGATTACACAAAGGTGTTTTTAGCCTACCAGTAAGCAGTATTTACCAAATCATAACAAATGGCTTCCCAAAGACCAAAACAAAGCAGAATCTTTCTGTTCAATAAAAGGAGCTACCAACAAGCTTTGTGCCATTAAATGGGGGTTTTTCTTCAGAATGTAATTCAGAAGACTCATGGCCTACTAGAAAGCTTCCACTATCACGACACTATAACATGGAGACTTTCATGACAAAGACTCCAGATATACAGAGAGGAAAGCACATTTTAAGTATGGTGAAAGCCTCAGTTAACAGGGAAATGAAAACTGAAAGCATAGAATACATCTAACAAAAATGGGGAACAGGGTGACACTGTAAAGCTGGCTATTCACAAGGACCAGTTTCTCCCTACAGACCAATACCCCTTACAAAATAAACTGTGCCTTAATTATTGCTTATTTAAAATTACACTTTTACAGAGCTATTTAGTACCTGACGCAGAAAAACAATTACATAAGGAAGCATTTATTTGAGGTTTAACATGAAATCATACAAATAAAATTTGTATAAACACAAATCCACATTGAGTCATAACACAGATAGCAAAAGACAAAGTAAAAACAAAGAAAACTAATTGGCGGCTATATACAGTTGGACACAGTTGTGTCTTGTACACTAGAAAGTCTTTTACAAAATTATCATCTTAGATCAACAGAAGATCAATCTTCAACGTTGTCCTGCAAGATGGGTTACTTTAGCAATTTCCTCCTAAAAACAAAAACAAAATAGCAATTAGATTTGTACAACTCTGACAAGCTTTCAAAGGTCCACTTTCATGAATTGTTTTAAGTCCTCAATTTATTCTTTTCTTCAATAATTAAAGATCACATGCATATCCATTGGCAAAATGAAGTTTGGGTAACCAATAAATTCACCCTGGAGTTCCCAAATGATAGAAAAGAATCTGGGAATTGAATCTTCCCGTTGAACTGTGGCTAGATTAAGGTCTACAATAAGCATCTCTAGTAAACCAAGCAAAATGCTTTTACAAACATGAATTTATAATGGCTTATTATAGTTCAAGAAAACAAATTGCTCTGTGCATATGATCTTTAATTTTTGTCCCAGATTTTAAAGTTCTTGTTTTGGTTTGTAGATTTCACTATTAGCTATAAAAAGAAAAAGCAAGCATTAAATCTTAAAGAATGAACACTTAAAATGAGGCTCCACAATTGAAATACAACACTAAACAGAAGACCAAAATGATTAAGCTGTAAAAAGGCATTTATGTACTTTAACTCCTGTAAAAAACCATTTAAGTTAAGTTTAGACACTTAATCTTCAAAAAAGATTAAAAAAGAAGCCAAAGTCTGAAGTTTTCCACTTTAATCTTTACGCTGGTACATGAAGTTGGAAGAGACCATACCACAGGACAGCGTTTTCTGGTGTATGCCTTGCGCTCTGCCCGCAACGTGCGACCCCCAGAGATAGACGTGGTCAGGGTGACACACGGCCTGCAATGAAGTTCCCGCTGGCGGGTACAAACAAGGTATAATGTCAGAGTTAGAAGACAACATTCGTGTTTTCCTTAAGTTGTACCCATTTCAGTACTTTACCTGTTAATAGTTCTAAAAAAGTTTAATTATTCCTCTAGACCACCTGGTACACAAAGCAAACAGAAAAACTTGTAAGTTTTTCTGTAATACTAAAGAAAGTGAGGTAAAACTTTAAAGTTAAAGATCTATAGACACTTTAGGCAAAACAGGCTTATAAAGCAATTAAAAAATTAACAATTTAGTAAAAACAGGCTACATAATATTTTGTTTTTACTTGTTTTTCATTTGTCTATTGATCTTTAAATTAAATTAGACAGTTCCACTGGTGTCTTGTACTCTTATACACACCTGTTTTCTCCCCCATGTCCTCCTTTAGTATGGTTGATAATTGTTTTGATGATTGCCACCCCCTCGAGACGCCTTGCCATAAGTGCTCTGTTGGCCTATTTTATAAGACAAAAATTTTTATTAAGATTAATTTTCTATGAAATAGTTTCATTATGTACCCAGAAACCATGAAATGTATAAAACTGCATGCCAACTATAAAAACATTTTAATAGCCATTATAAACTAGCCATGTTACAAATTCTTAAATATTTGTAAACAGTTTCTCTGTATTAGTATAATCACCCTATGAAATACCTCAAAAATTTAACTCCAAACACTTCAAAACATAGAAAATCCAGACATAATCAATTTTAGAATGGGATTGTAACTGAACACTGAATTTTAATATCATTGGTTATAAAATTAAGTTAAATATTCTTACCACTGTAGTCTGTATATCCCTGTCCATATCCATAGTTCCCATAGTTATACCCAGTATAATCATAGCCGCCATAGCCACTATAGTTTTGATCACCACCATAGGCACTATTGTAATTTCCATATCCTTGATCATAATAGTTATTAAATCCTTGGTTCCAGTTTTGGCCCTGACCTGAAACAATGCACAATGATTGTTAGGAAACAACTTCTGGCCCCAAACCAGACATTAAATGATGCTCTCCTGTCTTTCACTCTGTGTATTTTAAAAAGGCAGAATGGAAATCTATACTGACATCTGAGTGTTTATAAAAAGGGGGAAAGTCCAATTGTGCCAGTATAAGGCTTCCTAAATTCAATGGAAAATCAAGACAAAGGTGAAGACAGGTAGTCTAGCTTTTACAACAAGGACTCATGCCTAAGAAAACTTATCACACCAAGATATATCATGTAATCTTAAGTATATTTAATGCTATTATTTTCCCATCAGTGATGACACTGTCACAGTGGCCATTCTTTGAAGTAAAATCAGTAAACTCAATATCAAAAAACCCCAGCTAAAATAAGCATTTTCCATGTTGAAACAATTTAAATTTGGCTATACTTTCTTATGGGCTTATTCATATTTAGCAATTTACAGCTTAAACCACTGAGTCGTTTCCCAAGTAATAAATCTCACCTCGGCCTCGACCCCTAGTACCACCTCGTCCACCAGCTGCAGCACCTCTTCCTCCTTTTTGTTGTTGCTGTTGCTGCCTATATACCTCTTTGGGCTGTGCAACTTTGATTTCACACTATAAACAAATTTTTAAGAGTAAACAAAATTGTTACTTTAGTTCAAGTGTTAAGCCATTTTAGTCTCAAAAAAGATTGAGAAATTCACTAATAAACCCCCACAATTTCCACTTAATATAATTTAAATAGCTTTACCTTCCCCGAACCAATTTGATGATATCTGCTTTCTAATAATTTCTTTACTGGCTCTTCATCTGTGTATGTGATAAAACAAAATCCTCTTCTTTCATTTGTTTTTGTATCCATGGGAAGTTCAATATTTTCAATCTGAAATCAAGATGAACACTCAAGATCATCTAGTAATGGTAAAAAGCTACCAAAAGGTTTGCAATATCACAGGTCCTTTCAAGCTTCAACATAATCACGTGACGTCTATGTAGAATCCACTGCTTTAATGACTGATCTAATTTGTTTCTTCTATTAAGTATTTAGAGAGAAGAGGAAAACCTCATTATCACTTCATACCCAATAAATGCCACTAGTTAATAACTCCAAACACTGACTACACCAAAGCATCCATGTTTTAGCCAAAATAAACTAGATATTGGTTTCTATTACAGCACAGAAAGCAGTGATTAAAGCACAGTGACTGGAAGGAACCTGAACAGTTATTTAATCTCACCCTCACCTGACATGTGAATTTGTTCTGTAATAATACGGGCCATGGATGAACAGTACAAAAACACATCAAATATAAAATACACATTAACACAGAGCGCACCTCTCCAAAGGCTCCAAAATATTCTTTAATTTGTTCTTCAGAAGTATCTGGGCTCAATCCACCCACAAAAACCTTTTTTGGGGGTTCCTTCCCCTTTAAAGCTTTGGCCCTTTTGGGGTCTATCAATTTGCCATCCAGTTTGTGTTCCTTCAATTCCAAAACCTAGAAGAGATTTTTATTTAGCCTGACAGCAATATACAACCAATCCTCTGAACAATTTGCAAAATGCACACAAAGCAACACAAAGCAAAACAGTCCTACCTTATCAACACTAGCAGCATCTTTGAAAAGCACAAATCCAAATCCTCTTGATCTTCCGGTGACTGGATCTGTTTTAATTGTGCAGTCTACAACTTCCCCAAACCGAGACAAATATTCAGTCAGATCTTTCTTGCTTGTATCCCAGCTCAAGCCTCCAATAAACATTTTACTAAAAATAAAAGTTATTTTTTTTAAAAAGTTAGCTGCAACTCAAACGATTACATCGATCCTGATTACATTTAACTATAAGTAAACACGGGTAAGTTTAACCTCTATCCCCATGTAATTTAATCCGTTTTCAACAGGCCACAAAAATCCCAAAATTCCATCGAGATCAATTATTCAAAACAGTGAACAGTTTGCTCGCCACACTGCATAACGCAAAGTTTAAACGAGACCAACGATGTACGTTAAACATTATCTTAGTTTAGAAAGTCCAACCTAAATAATCCCCCCACAATTTAGATCCACCCTCTTCCTGTCAAGCTAACGTTCCATCTAAATAATTCATCATAACGCATTCTGGGTATTTGGTGCCCAAACCGAGAGTTGTAAACTCTCTCCAAGAAAACTGCGTTGAGCCCTAACAGACACAATGAAGAGGCGGCGGCAGCTGCAGCATGTGGCGCAGCGAGACCGGCCCCTCCCCCTCGGCCCCACGCGGCGCCTGCGCATTCGGGCCACCGACGCCGCCGCCCTCCGCCTCCAACTCCTCCGCCCTTCCCCCACCTTCCGCGGGCCTCTCTAGTCACCCCGTCTCCTACTTTCCTCTTTCTTCCAAGCTAGGGGGGCTCAGCGGGCACGCGAGGAATCGACTCCGGGCAAGAATGTAGGCAGCGCGCGGCTCTCGAGGGATCAAGGGCGCGCATGGCGCGCTGGGGGACGGAGGGGAGAAGAAAAGCGTGCGGTACCCGTCATCCTGCTGGTTCTTGCTCGCGTTGATCTTGGATCCCTCTGCGAATTCCTCTATGTTGCTGTACTCGTTCATGTCCTCCATGGTGGCGGAGTTGTCGGCCGGGGGGTGCTGGCGCGCAGTCCGAGTCCCGGCAGCAGCAGCGGCGGAGCGTTGTATGGAGCTGGATTTAAAATGGCGGCGGAAGAGATCCGGGCGCCGCCTGCGCCCTCCCTTTATAGCCGCCCCGCCCGCCAATCGGGAGGGCTGCTGGGCGGTGACGTGGCGTTGGGCCCGGCGCGCCCCCTGCCGGGCAGAGCTGGGAGCGAGCGAAGGGAGGAGTGGGGCGAGCTGCCTCGGCGCCCGCGGCCGCCAATGGGAAAGGCTGCGGGAGGCTAAAGTAGCGGGAGCGGAGGGAAACAATGGCGGCGGCACATGGGAAAGCCGGGGCGGGACCTCCATCGCGGCCCTCCGGTGAGGAACGAGGTCGCGGGTGAAGGGGACGCGGGCTTGGGATGAGAGAAGCGTCAGAAGAGAAAAACGAAGGGGAGAAAAGTCCTGGGGTCAAAAATCCCGAGCAACGCCGTCGCAGGGCCAAGTCCCTCTTGCCTTGAGAGCCTTTGTCTCTGGCGTCCGGTCCAGCCCACTCCTAGCAAAGAGCCGTCAACCCCTTTTTCCGCCCTTGGTCCACCAGTGCGGAGCTGCTGCAGCGGCGGCTATCGATTAGCACCGTGGCCGGGCTGCTCCGGAAAAAGGCGGACTGCACTCAGCATCGGCGGCTGAGGCGGCGAGCGCGCCTGCCCGTCCGCCGCGCGCACGCGTGTTTTGTCCTCGAGCTGGCTGGAACTAGCCGAACAGGAAGCGGGCGCACGGCGGCCCCTCCGGGCAGCGGCGCTGCGCGGGCGCCTCTTCCGCTACCGCCGCAGGCGCGCAGGACGAGGGGAGCGAGTCTCCTAGGCGATCAGCCGGACCCAGGCCAACGCAGTCAAGCCAACCAGGACCCCGCACGGCCGCTTTTGCGGGCTGAGAATGGGAGGAGGGGCGCGGGCCGATCAGATTACTGTAAATATGCAAAAGCGGAAGCATTGGGCGGGGAGGGGGCTAGGTGTCGTAGGGGGCAAGGGGCACTCACATCCCCGGCGCGCCACTCGCGGGGCTCCTGTCTGCACGTGCCCCGGGCCTCTCCCGCTCGCTCAACCAGTCTGCGGAGAGCGCGCGCCCGCCCGCGCACCCGGCTCCTGCGTTCGCTTCTTTGTTCCCGCCCACGCGAGGCCCATTTTGACGGATCGTGTTCGAGGCCCTCTGGCGGCCAATCACTGTCGGAGCTTTTACCTCCTCCCACCCCCTCGGAGCCCCGCCAGGGCCGCCCCTTTCCCTGCCCACGTGGTCTCGGCCTCCAGCCCTGGGCAGCTCCTGAGCTCAGGTCGCTCGCTCGCGTGGCCGCCTTCTCCAATTTTAGGGGCGTGGAGGTGGCTTCTTCCCCTTGTGCTTCCGGCCGCACGGGGTTGTCCGCTCCGAGATTGTTGCGGAGCTGTCGGAAGCCCAGGACGGTGCTAGGGGCGCAGTCGGCTCCGCCCTCCTCCCTCTCTACTAGTAGGCCGATTCACGTAGTAGCATCCGGTAGGGAAATGGTCGTGCTTTCGGTGCCCGCCGAGGTCACTGTGATCCTGTTAGATATCGAAGGTACCACAACCCCGATTGCTTTCGTGAAGGTGAGGGGCGGAAGGGAGCGGGGAAGTTACTTATGCTTAAAAACAAAGAAATTTTTTAAGTATTGCAGACCTTGCAGTAAAAACACGCGGGGTAAAAGGGGTGGTGTGGCTTTGTATCCGCTGTGGAATGGAAGGAAGTGGAAAGGCTGCAGCGGGTTGCGGGGATGCTTTTCCTCACGGCACCATCTTCACCCTCCCCATCCCTCTCTTTGGTTAGAGATAAATGGGTAAGAAAGGGTGGAGGTGGTGGCAAAAAAAGGCGAAGGAGGGATGGTAGGCGGTGGCAGAGTGAGGCAGAGTGGGCGCCTCCCGCCAGGCAGGTGTGCGCCGGGTAATCCCCCTGGTGAGCATCCACTTTGTGCTTGGTCTGACTTGGCGAAGCGGTCGCCGCGATCTAGTGGTCCTTGAGGCGCCTACTCCCGCAAAAATGGAAGACTGAAGTATGATGACTTTTCAGATAGCCTTGGTTTCTTGTGCCTTGTCCTATAATCTATTAATTATTTTTGTTAACGTTAACTATTAACCTAATACAATATTAACTTGTTAATATTGTATTAACTTATCAAAGCAGTGTTACTAAGGATGTGTTCATTTAAAAGTATGTTCAGAAAAGCATTAGGTCTGTGTGGATGTTTATAGTAATTATGCAAAAAAGGATTCCATTATTATGCACTTTTGGGAAATGTTCTGTACATGTTCAACCAGGTTTGTTGCACTCCTCAGAGCCTTCAAATTATACACACACGCACTCATATCCTTGTGAGTCTTCGAGAGAGTAGCATTTCACAAATTTATTTGAACAAAAAAACGAATATCTTTTGATCACCTTTTAAAGAGATGTTAAGTTACATTCTTGAATCTCTGAGCTTGAAGCTGGGAATTAGTCACATTGGGTGTGTGAACTTGTAGCCTCATTTCCTCTTGAACGACGAAACACTGAGTACATGCATGCGTCTTGAGTCATCCTTAAAATCTGAGTATGCAGCTGTTTGCATTTTACCGTTAGGAAACCAAGGCTCTGAAAAATTGAACAGTATGCCTGGGTTTGAATCCAAATTGTCTTACTCTTTCCATTTATTTTACTCCATCTTGTAAATGAGAACCACAGTGCTTGTTCTGTCTTTGCGAGGCTGCTGTGTATGTTAAATGACAGGTGATGAGAGCATTTTAATCAATATGAAGTATATGGTAACAAATTTCACTTTATACTACTTCTTAGTGATAGGTTTAGGAGTGAACCAAAGTACAACTGAGTCTATATTTGGAGATTTGGTTCTATAGTTAGTGTGAAAATTGAATATTGTCCAAAATTGCCCTTGAAATACCCTTAAGAAGTCAGTCCTCTTTAGAGGCTGATTTCCATCTTTCAGTAAGTCATATAGTCATTTTTCCTTTAGGATTGAAACAATACCTGCTTCTTCCCTTGAGCACCAGAGGAAGTAGTTTATGATTAAGTGATGTAAATGAAAAAACTGTCAAACATTAGCCTCACACTGAGCCACTTACCCTAAGAGACACAAGGGGCACTGAGACTGTCCCAGAGAACAGAACACCTTCATTTAATGGAATGGCAGGCAGATTGCCAGCACTGGTTATGGTTATTTTTTTCCGTTTCTCTCACTCACTTGCTCGCTTGCTGAGAACTTTCAGTTGAATGTGTATATGATGTAGCTTAACTACATAGTACTAACAGTCTAGGATCTCTTCCAGGATTCCCCTACCTCATCTGAGAAGTTCTGTTCTTAGACTCCAGGCAATAACACCCAATGATTTTACTTACCAGCTATTCTGTCTTTTTCTGAGTCATAGAATTGTCAGATTTTTCGAGCAGGAAGGGCCCCCTAGCTCTGATTGTCTAGTGAATGTTGCAGCCAGCTAATTAACTTCTCCCATGAGTCAGTTGATACCTGGAGGGATGTCCTCTGTGAGGATAGTCATAAAATTGCTGGGGGCAGAGCAGCAGTAGAACCCGGATTTTCTTAGGTGTTCCCAGTTCATCTGAGTCCTCAGAGCCACCAGCTCCTGTCTCTCATTGTAGGACTCATGCCCCTGGAGTTTTTCTTTTTTGGTATTGACTACGATTCTCTGCAGTGGTGCTCTCCCAACATTTTTTGGTTATATATACTATGAGCAGAATTGCAGCAGGCACTACCAGTAGAATTTATAAATTGTGTACACATACTATTGTGCTATTATTGTTATAAAATAAATTGGAATTTAAAGGTGAGATTAAAATAAGTGTAGATGAATGTTGTTATGTCCTCTTCCCTTACCGCACTGATTCTTTTGCTTGTCCCTGGTGTGTATGAACTTACAGAGCCACCTATTGATCTTTGTCTCTGATGATGTAATATTCATTTTATGATTTTGTACTTTGTATTCTAATGTGTTTAGTCTATAAGCTATGAAATAACACCATCAGTCCCTGTGGTTATCCTGTCAGAAACCTTCAACTGCTGTTTCTGAATTTAGGGAAAATCATCTCTTGTCCCTGAAAATGCTCTAAAATTTGGTGGCTTTCCTGTTGTTACGTGTCCAGTTGTTACATGTAACAGCCGTTGCAGTAATATTCTGTAAAGTCACTGAGAACACCACATTAGCAAATACTGAATCATTGTCCATACAGGGACAATGTTAGATTCCTGTGAGCCTGTGGTCACATTTTCATCAGGTAATCAATACATAATCCTGTTTTATGTGTGTTTCTATTGTCTCATTTAATATATATTCTTGATTCATTAACATTGAACTCACGGCCAATGGCACTGTAACTCATCCTTTAACGAAGCTTATTTAACACATTTTCTCCATAAGGCACATCAGAGCTTCCTTAATCTTTAGTAACACTAGACAGTGCTACAGCACTTTGCTTGGCCAATTTTAAACTGCAAAATCAACAAAAAGCATAAAATGTGAAAAATGTGGCACTAAATAGAATCTGAAAAGGACATTTGTTTAAAATATGAGAGTATAAGCATCACCTTGTACTGGAAATGTGTACATCTGGCGTTTCAAGTTTTTTGCTACTCTGCACAAGGATAGTCCTGGAGATTGCAGGTCTGGATTAGCATTCTGGTTCCTCCCTGCATGATTTACAGCAAGTTAGTTAATATCTCTGAGTCTAGGTCCTTTTTTCCTCAGCTGTACTGTGAGAATCTCTACCTCATAAGGCTACCTTGAACATTTAATGAATGCTTAGCTCTTGAAAAAACTTTGTAAAATAAATGAATATACTTACGTATTTTATCCGCCTTCCCAATAAATATTGTCAGGTAGTAGTGTATGTGGGCGGGGGGGGGGGAGGGGAGGGTTTCATTTATGCTTGGGATAAAACCTTTGTAATAATTAAGAAGCTTCCATTAGCCAAATATAAATCTGATGAGACTTTTTGTTCCTAAAATATTTTAAGTGAGGCATGGTGAGTACCCTTGTCAGTAGTTCTTTGTAGCTGTGCTTCTCAGACTTTAATGTGTATACAAATCTTCTAGGGATCTTACTAAAATGTAGTTTCTGATTCAGAAGATCTAAAATGGAACTTGATATCTAACAGGTTTTCTTGAATTTCTAAAAGGTTCCCAGGTGATACTGATGCTGCTGGTCCATGGACTACACTTTGAGTAGTTAGGCTTTACACAAATTTGTAAGTTCTATGTCTAGGCCTGTTAGTGATGCTCTTTTCTAGTGGCTTGTTTGAGGTGAGAAGGCAGATCAAGCAAGAGGGGTAGATGAATTAGAGATCTGTCATTAATAACAGAACTAAGACCTCTCAGAAGTCAAGTAAATTGATTATGGATCAGTGAGGCTCTATACAAAAGAAAGCAAGGTAATGAAATAAACCTGGCAGACATTAAAATTAAGCAAGTGGTCATTTCCCCGGATTTTGTAAATTGTCTTCTAGAAATGAACTGTAAAGCAAAATACCTTTCTTAAAAGACAAATTGAAAAGAGTTAGATATATTTGTAGGAAAGCAGGATAAGAGGCCTGAAAATTTTTGACAAATCTGTCAAAATTCCTTTGTGGATCTCTCCACTCCCTGACTACCACCATCTTATATTGATTACTAGATAATTTGTTGGTACTAAATGTTTCATGAATATCTATGAAATAGAGAACCGTGTAATAAGCCTTGGGGCATTCTAGTAGGTGGGCAGGTAGTGTCTTGCTAAACCTGTTGTATTAGTTTCTTGTAGTTGTTGTAACAAATTATCACAAACTTAGTGGTTTAAAACAATACACATTTATAATCTTACAGTTCTGGAGGGTCAGAACTCTGAAATGGGTCTCACTGAGCTAAAAATCAAGCTGTTGACAGGGCTGTGTCCTTTCTGGAGACTAAAGGAAAATTCTTTTCCTTGCGTTTGCAGCTTCTAGAGGCTGCCTGCATTCCTTGGCTCTTGGCCCTTTCTTTTTTCTTTCTTTAACTTTCTTAAAAAATATCTATCTATCTATCTATCTATCTATCTATTTATTTATTTTCAAAGACAGCAGTGTAGCTTCTGCTGATCGATCCATCCACCTTTCTCTGACTCTATCCTGCTTTCTTCCTTCACTTACAGAGATCTTGTAATTGTATCAGGCCCAAGCAAATAATCCAGGATAACCTCCCCATTTTGAGATCCTTAATTTAATCACATCTGCAAAGTCCCTTTTGCCGTGTAAAGTAACATTCACGGGTTTCAGGGATTACGGCGTGGACATCTGAGGGTAGGGTGCATCTGGTTAACACAAACGTTTCTGGCTAATAGATGCCTTTATAGGTTCTTAGCTCCAGTTTGTTTTGAAATCTATCATTTATGATGTTGGATGTGGTATATAATTTAAAAAATTTTTTGACAGTTTTTTTTTTTTTTAAAGATTATGTTGTTTTTTAAGAATTGTGGTGGTGTGGAGGTTAGTAAAGACATTATTTAGGGCAGCGATCTCCAACCTTTTTGGCACCAGGGACTGGTGCTCCTATGAGAATCTAACACTTGATGATCTGAAGTGAAGCCGAGATGGGGATGCTAGTGCTGGGGAGAGGCTGCAAATACAGATGAAACTTTGCTCACCTGCCACTCACCTCCTATTGTGTAGCCCCATTCCTAATAGATACTTGGTAAGGTTTTGAACAAGGGGAAAGAAGAGATCTCAAAACAAACTTTGTTAGAGAATATGAATTAAGTAGACAAATCCTTGAGCCTGTAAATACTAATTACTTGAAGTAATTGAACATCAAAATGATAAAGATTTTGATTCCCTTTTGAAAGAGTCCTGCTTTTTAAAAAAAAGTCCTGCTTGATTGCTTTTCTGGTGTTTAATAAATGTCTTTTGAATACATTTTATATTAAGACATTTTTAGAAAAAGCTAATACATTCTTGATAGTTTATTAATGCTTATAATTTATTCTATTATGTTCTTTCATAGTCTAACAATATTTTAAGAGATAATAAATAGGATATGTTGAAGTTGACATTTTTTCTCATGAAAACTACTATGTTAATTTTATGGTCTTTCTAGGAAGAGAGCTTGTGTTGTCTTATATTATCTCCAACTTTGGTTAAACATTCATTCGAAAAGTATTATCACATCTGATGTTCTCAGCACTGAGAAATATATAATACCCACTCTGCCTTCAACGTGAAACTACTAGAAGACTACTCACAAGGGACAGCAACCAGAAACTTGCTTTCATCTGTCCTATTTTTTATTGACATTAGTAACTGTAATTATATCCCTGTCTTCATTCAGTGTATGAATTTAGGCTTTTTCATCTGCAAGAATGGAGTAGTTGGATCTGTCATGCTTATAAGTGGTGAAGAAGATTGAATGAGATGAAATTAAAAAGGCGTTTGAAAATTATCAAGTCCTATAGAAACACTGATATAATGCAGGAAATATCAGACTGTCCCATGGAGACAGAAAATGCTTGTGAAGGGTCAGGAAGGAAAAGAGAGAACTACCATTTACTGAAACATGTCATGTTCCCAGTTTTTTCCCCACCATGACTACCTCCACCTCTGCTCCTTATGGCCCTTAGCCAGAATTATGCTAAGAATGAGACCCAGAACATTGCTAATCTCAGAATTCTTGGAAGAACTGGAATAGCAGAACTGCCTTGATAAGTAGTTTATGGGTTGATTAACATTCCCCCAAACCTTCCCCATTACTTAGGGTAGTGATTCGGAAACAGAGATTCACCCTTGGTGGTTGGTATGAGAGGATTCTTGTTGATTCAACCTGAAATGAGGGGAGAAGCCTTTGGAGAATCACCATATTGGGTCTGAGTATATCAAGAGGTATGTTAAAAAAGCACCTTTGGCTTTATTTCTGGTCTTATATTCTTCTAGAACGTTCTGAATCATGACACTTGTATAATCTTTCCAGCCTATTCAATCCTTTCTTCCTTTTACATTTATTTGAATACCTATCATGTGCCAGGTTCTGCTAGTGATTCAAAATCCTTAAGATGTAGCCACCATTCTCAAAGAACCTAGCAAGGAAGACAGGTATATAAATAGATTGTCTTTGTACCATCAAAATCCTTTTTGCTTTCCTGTTGGCTAACAGGTGGTTTTAACCTCTGAACTTTAATGCATTGAGTTTTTCAACTTTCTATTCCTCTCTTTCTTTACACTTTTTGTAGCTGAAAAAATCCATTAAGGTCATACCCTTTTATGCCACCTCCATTCCTCCAGCTCGGAATGTCATACTTTTTCCTCTCAGTGCAGGATGATCCTATGCACTCACTAATTAAAGAATATTTATTGTGCTAGGCTGTGGGAATACAGAAGTGAGACCTGCTTCTGTTCTCAGAGGAACTTTGTTTAGGAATTTCAAAGTCCTCTCCCTCCTCTTCATTGCCACGTATTTATCACTCTAGCAGATGCTGCCTTGTGTTGTATGTGTGTTCTGTCTTCTAGCAATTCTGAGAGCTGTCAAGGACAGAGACCAGAGCCTTGCACAGCACTTACACATAAGGCATTCAGTAAACGCTTGTTGATGGTGATAATGATGCATTCCAGAATGGGCATAAGAATGGGCATAGGCTAGAGTTATGTTTCTCTTAAACTCTGCTATCCTTGCTTTTTCAAATTTCCTCAAAATGGTACATTTGGACAGCATGCAATTTAACTGAAGTATTTCTAGAGTGGCAGAGAATTTTCACTGACCCGACATTTAAAAAACCTACACATTTTAGAGAAGTCAGCTAATAATGGAAATTTAAAACCGTAAGAGAGAGAAATTTCATTAATTAAAATTAATTTGAAAAGTTAATGCAATGTAAACTTATATTCTGTTATTGTGAGCATAGAAAGTGTTTTTTTCCTCCAAATTTTTTTCTCAAAAATTAATTTATACTTGTTATAAAATTGCAGACATAGAAGAGTATAATATGAAAGTGAACCCCCAATCCCCCATATGCTCCCACCATGCAGAGATGACCATTAAGAGTTTGGTGAATATTCCTTTTGATTTTTTTCCTATGCACAAAGCTTAATTTTGTATAAAACTTGATTTTCACATTTATTAACTAATTTCCACATTGGTTTGATGGAGGTAGGAGTCTGAAGAGGGGTGGAAAGCAGCCCGCCCTGACCCATCACCTTTCTAAAGAATCGCATGGAAAGTTAGTAACTCTGTCCTTAGAGGCCTTCCTGGAACTTCTCTGGACCCTTCTCAGGGGACTCCATTTTAGAAACACGGATTTCTTTTCAAATATAGACGTTTTTAATACAGAAAAAGTGTTTTTGTCTTCTAGGTATGTACATGAGGGGGTTTATTTCTTACTTTGGTTTTCTTTTCAGTGTTTCACTATGTGACCTAACAAATTCCTTTTCTTAAGTCTTAAAAGAATGGGTTAAGAGAGAGTTAACCCACTGAGTTAACCCCTTCACTGAGTTAAGAGAGACTAAGACACGCGGTTTGGAAACTAGGTTTGGAAACTAGCGGTAATCCCAGCAGGGGGACCTGAGTGGGACTTTGGAAAGAAGCTCCTGGTCACACCATTGTTTGGCAGTTAAGCTGGTGTGCTCAAGAAGCTGGCCAGCTCCCGGGCTGTGCTTTGTGTGGGTCAAGCCATTGTAAGTTCAGTAAACTAATTAGATCTCTTCATTGGAGATCAGACCTTGGGGACCTGACTCTTCAAACTAATAAAAGACCTGATTGATAAACTGTTATCACAGCTTATTAATTTATACGTTTATGGAGAAAATAATAGCACTTGTTTTATAGGGTTTTTAAGAGAATCGAAAATCTGTCATTCAGGCCATTTATTCCTCAATTCATTGAATAAATTTGGAGTGCTTGGTAGCAGTGGCAGTGGTGAGAAGTGATTAGATTTTGAAGGTAGGACTGATGAGGTGAATTGATTGGATGTGGAGTGTGACAGAGAGGAATCAAAGGTGACTAAGGCTTTTGGCCTGAATATCTAGAAAGATGGAGCTGCCACTTACTGAGGTGGGGAGATGTGGGAGGAGTGGGATTACGGGGTAGAAGCTGGAGTTTGGTTTCAGATATCCAAGTAGAGATTTGGGGTAGGCAGTTGGAGAAAATCAGTTTGGAGTTAAGGGAAGAGGTCCAGGCAAAAGCTATGGATTTTGGGGTCATTAGCAATAGATGGTGTTTAAAATCATGGGATTAGGTGAGATCATTAAGGAGTGTCTATGGATAGAGAAGTGCCTAGAATAATAAGGGCTGAATAAATGTTGGTAATTACTTCCACTATGACTACAACTGCTATTATTATTATTGGAAGTATTACAGAACTGCCAGGTGAACCTAGATCTCTTATTTTCTTAGTACAAATCTGATAAACCAAAGCTGTATTAGAAATGTCTATAGAGAATATAGTATCAGGATCCAGGGAGTTGGGTGATTCTAGTAAGTTGTGCTCCCCAAAGTCATCCACTCACAGAGCTGGATGGGTTCTGGCATTGGGATTTGATAAGCCTGGGTTTGAGTCCTGGCTTTACTTTGTACCAGCAGTGAAACCTTTTTGAACGTAACCTTCTTCATCTGTTCAAAGGGGTCACCTTGCAGGGATGGTGGGTGGATTCAAGGAGATAAATGTCAGTTCCTTTTCTTTCCCTTCCACTGTTAGGGACAAGAATTCTGGGCCAGTCAGGATCCCCTCTCTGGAACTCATGAGAGATATTCATATTGTCTCTTCTCTGCCTTTTTTTTTTTTTTAAGTTTTATCTCAACTACTAGCCCCTTATAATGATAACTTCCCCTGTGCAACATCATTCATTGCAATTAATTAGATTACAGTTTAGTCTCCTTAATGGGATTTAGAAGACACTTTTGTCTTATCAGCAACACATTTATTAATTCATTTAGAATGCAGATGATGAAATCTAATGTTTTTTCTTAAGGGCTTCAGTTTTCAGAAGAGAATGGTTATATCCCTGCTTACCCCATGAAGATAGGGACAGTGAAGTTAGAATTTCTGAGTCCTTGTAGCCCTATGTAGTAGCCAGAGCACTGACACTTCTCTTGGTAGTTTCTAATATAGTCTTCAGGAAGGATATTTAAAGAGCTACCACAACTGCTGAAGCTGACAGATGGCATGGACCACTTACTCCAAGAAGTAGTAAATTCCTATCATTAGGAATGTTCAAGCAGGTTTAAACTTCCATTTATAAATAAGTCCTGGGGATGTAATGTACAGCATGGTGACTATAGTTAGTAATACTATGTTGTATATTTGAAAGTTGTTGAGAGTAGATCTTAAAAGTTCTTATCACAAGAAAAAAATTTTAACTGTGGTGACAGATGTTAAATTTCTAGTGATCATTTCACATTATATACAGAGGTCAACTCGTGTTGTAGAACAGAAACTAATGTAATGTTATTATCAATTAAATCTCAATTTAAAAAAAGGATTATACAGTAGATATGCTGAAAAAAAGGTTTTTTTCTTGTAATCTCATGACCCAGAGAGAACCTTTATAAACATTTACATCTACATTCTCCTAGATTTTGTTCTATGCATTAGATATTCCCCCCAAATAGGATTATGCTTTATGTACTATTTGTAACCTGTTTTATTTCTTATTTAGTGAATGTGATTTAAGACCCATCAAGCCACTTAATTTTTCTTTGTTTTTTATTCTCTGAGATGAATAGAGGAATAGTAGCCCACCCAATATTGCTTCTGTGTTGTTTAATTTTATGGCTTAAAATTTTTTAAGTTCTCAGATGCTATAATTCATTTGTAATATGTGGTTCTTTTGGAAGATTTTTTAAATTGTTTCTTTAAAAAGCTATACTCAATTACCCATTACCTTTTTATTACCTATTTTTTAAAGGAGAAATATTATAACATTTTATTTTAGTAAATAGTATAACAATTTTATTTTTAATGATTCTATGACCTTTCCATTAAAACAACCACTTAACCATAAAGTATTTCTTTAATTAAATCTTTAGAAATTTTCTGGCCCTTACTGGAGCTCTTTCAGAAAGCTGCCATTGAGCCAGATAGAGTAATATACACTGCTGCTTGCATAGTATCCCCTCCAGCATTTAGCAGAATATAATCATAGCCCCCTGAAAGACAAATACTCTTTACTTCTATAGCCTTTTGTTGTATGTACTAAACTGTAACAACTCCTTAGGTACCTGGCGGACTAAAAACTTTCACATATTTGTAGAATCCTGGGTTTATTGCTATATTTTTTTTATTCTATAATATTCTGAAATGATCTATAAATGGATTATAACAGAAGGTAAAACATTTATATCACAGTTATTTCTATGGTCTGTAAATGGATTATAACTGAAGATAAAACGTTTTTATCACAGTTATTTCTGGAATTACTTTTAAAGCCTGAAAACTTTTTAATGGGCAGGGTTGGGCAATAAGCACTAGTTTTAAAAAGTCTATTTTTAGAGCTTTCTTATATGGTATTATAGCACATGTCAGGCTATGATATAATTACTGGCTTTTTAAAATAAGCAATTTGAGGAATTTTATTTATTTTACATAATAGATGCTTAATAAGTATGTTGAAAAGTAGATAAAACCTTCACAATGTAGTTATTATACTTTTATGTTATGCAGTAACACTTTTGCACTAAAATATCAGTCTGCTAATCTGCCACCCCCAGGTAATATTGCTGTTCCAGGTGTTCTAACTTCATTGCTTAATTTTGTGTGTTTACTCAGTGCAGAGGGGAGTTTTGTGTGTAGGGAGGGTGGCTAATTGAACAGTCAAGAATTCTAAAGTAATCTCTAACTTCTAAAGCTTTTCCTAAAAGTTTAGAATTGTTAGAAACCTTGCACGTTTTATTTGTGAGTTCTCTGAGAAGTATCATAACTTTGTTATCAGAAGTATCTGGCATTCAGTAGGTCTTCAGTAAATGTTGACTGAATGAGTTGGTTGTGCTTATGATTTATCCTCTGGGGACTTTTCTATTTATCACTAAATTGCGTCAAAGATGATCTCTGCCCAGTTTAAATGTTGGTACTAGAGAATATAAGTGGTAAGGTAACTGCGTTGCTTTTGCTTGGTAATATTTTCGTATAGCAGATAAGAAAACTGAGGCTCAGAGAGGATAAGTTACTTGAACATAGCTAATAAAAGGCAGAAGTAGGACCCCAGTCTGGCATGTTGCCTAGACTCTGTATTCATCTCCTCTCTCACAGAGGTCAAGGACCTGGGCTCTCAGCATTCACAGCTCTTCGTGAATTGTTCTTGGTACCAGTAAAGCTGAATATAGGAAACTGGACTTTTTGAAACACAAAGTGGTATAGCGCTGCATGAATTTTTATGACTTTTGAGTACTTCAACTTTTCAGTTACTGAGAGACCCTGAATCTAACCAACAGGTTTTCCCTGGGATATTTCTAGTTGCTTGGGAGCTGGGAAATAATAGAGGCAGGACACTGGTGGAGGATGACCAAAAGGGAAAGAAACAGGTGTAGGATAAGGGATCAAAGTTGGCTTGCTTGTTTTTTAATTGTGAAACATTTACAATAAATAAGAAGAAAGATTAATGTAATGACCATGCATACACCACAAAGCTAATTAAATTTCGATGTTATGTTTGTTTTATATCTTAAATAAAACATTACAGATATAACTGAGGCCCTGAGTACATCCCATTTTGTATTAGACTTTTATTCGTACTTTGGCATTTATATTCATTGATAAATATCATTTTAGTACATTCATGTCTGTTTTATAATGTTTTATAATATGAATATACCCCAGTTTATCTGTTCTCTAGCAGATAAGATTTAGGCTGCTTTCAGTTATTTTGTGTTATACCCAGTGCTACAATAAACATTTTTTACTTCCCTCTTCGTGCACATGTGTTAGAGTTTCTCTACGGTATATGTCAAAGAGAAGACTGGCTGGTGCGCCTTTAGTTTTACTATATCTTCTCAGGCAGCATTCTCAAATGGGGGACGAGTTTGCAGTCCTACCACTGTGCATGAGTGGGGAGGAATATTAATTAGAAGAAAGGAAGGAATAAGAGGGGCACAATATAGGGCATAATGGGAAAACTAAGTGTTTAAAGAAAATCAGAAGTATATCAGTAGGGTAAGAGGATTCTCTTGCAAAAAAGAAAGCTGTCAGTCTGAACTCTTCATTTTCCATCTTTTAGATCAAGAATGAGTTTTTACTGAGCTTAAACAAGGCTTTTCTGTTAAGTATTCTGAAAAATTTGCCGGATTACACTGTATGCTTCTAAATCTGCTGAACGATACTTACTGGAATGCCACAGGAGAACAAGCAAAATTGAATGGCTTCTTTATTTTTTTCTAGGGCAGGTGAAATTTGAATAATGTATTATGAAGACAGATAAACACTTCAGTCCTACCATTTAAAAAAAGACCACAATAACTTTCTTGTATATTTTCATTTGGGAGTGCACTTTAAGTTGAACTTAGACTTGGGTCTTCTGAAATATTAAAAAAATTCTAATTATGTAGCCAAACCTTTGTACCAGTCAGGGAAGCACACTAAAAAAATACAGTTTTGTTCCACTCGATCTATTAACTATGTTTTAACCATACCATGCCTCAGGACTGTTAGTGGAAAATGAAAAATTTTCTGCCAGCTTCTTTCTCCTCTTTTTGCTCTTGTTCACTCTCTTGTAATAGTATTTAAGAAAATGTCATGGTCCAGAGGCTTGTAACAAAGAGGCCGAAAGGGGAAGGAGAAAGCATGGATCAGTGGATTTCAGATCACAAAGCTGGGCTGAGGGCCGGTTCTGGTTAGTACTGATCAGAAGAGGTGGGTATTCTGGCACAGATGACCCTTTGATAGCGCATGCAGATGCTTTATGAATTGGAGCCCATGCTTATTACATTTAGTGGGCCCTCTTTGCAGGGAATAAGATTGCTTATCTTCAGGTCCTTTTTGCACACCTCGTGGTGGTATGGAAACATTTGAAAACCTGCAGCTTATGTTGCTGGCTTATACGCTTCATAAATCAGGTGACCCTACCCAGAACCTTTCCCTGTCTACACCATTCTCTCTGTAGAACGTTTTCTCTGGCCTTCTCCAGGTGACTCCTCTGCATCCATGGTGGTTCTTGGATTCTTTGTTCTTAGGATCCCTTTATACTCTTAAAAATTACTGAAGAACCAAAGAGCTTTTCTTTATGTGCACTAAATCCATTCAATAGTTACTTATTAGAAATTAAAACAAATTTAGAAATATTAATTGACTTTAAGCAATAAATCCCCTTTATTAACTAACATAAATAAGATGTTTTTACAAATAAATTTTTTTGTTTGTTTTGGAGAACATGGTTAGAAGAGTGGCATTGTTTTACTTTTTTGCACACTTCTTCAATGTCTGGGTATTAAAGACAGCTAGATTGTCTTATTTGCGTTGGGTCTCATGATATCATGCATCAGTAGCCTCTGGAAAACACTTCATTGTTCGGTCCTGAAGGGATGAAAGTGAAAAAGGCAAATAACATTTTCATAGTCTTATGAAAGTAGATTGACCTCAAGGTTCCCCTAAAAGAATCTGTTTCTACTCATTGAGTTTAGAGATCAAGTATTGTTACTGCTCTCAGTTATATCTTGAGCTCTTAGCAAGGGCCTGCCCTGTACTGGACATTCAGGAAATATTTGAATAAGTAAATGAGTGACTGAATTTGAATAAACAGACCTCACATTTAACTTAAAATGTAGGTCCTCCTCTGAAATGTGTACTTGGGGTCTACACTCACAACATATATTTTGTTATTTTGGACTCTGGTTATTCCTAAGACTGTTGGAGAGCCATTAGACCCTGGATTCACACAGCAGTCTACTCATACTCTTCTGGTCTTACCCATTGTACTGCATTATAATTATTTGTTAACCTCCCACCACCACCCCTACTAGATTCTTAAGCTATTGAGAATAGGGACTGTGACTTATTTATCTTTTCAGTCCCCTTTTCCATGCCCCACTCAGTGTTTAGAATATCTTGTTTTAGAGTAGACACTAAAAAAATGTTGAAAAGATGCATACTATTGCAAGTAAATGTAAAAATTTTGACCTAAAAGAAATCATGTTTCCATTGCATAGATTACTGACCTATTATTTTATTTCTGAATTGTTTTACATATTTTCTTCTAGGGTATTCTATAGGTAGACTGATTACCAAGAATGAATCATGGCGTTCAGGTGTGTTTTTAAAAACATTTGCATGGACACCATTCTTTCAGCAGATATTGAGTTATGTACATGTGCCAAGTACTGTGGTGTGCATTGGAGATACAACTCTGAACAACCTATACTTGATCCCTGCCCTCAAGGACCTATAGTCTAGCAGTCTAGTTCAGGAGTCCACAGACTTTTTCTGTTAAGCTCTGAATAGTAAATGTTTAGACTTTGCAGGCCATAATCAGTGTGCCATTGTAGCCGTAGACACTATGTAAACCTGAGTGTGGCTGTGTTCCAGTAAAACTTTATTTACAAAAACAAGAGGTAGAACAGATTTGGCCTGGGGGTTATAGTTTGCTCTTTCTTGATGTAGTTCATTTATTGCTTGGTCTCTGTCACTGTCTCACTCATATATCTATAGCTGAAATTTTCCGTGGCTTATTTGCTACAATTAGCTTAGGTGACATTGTTGAAGAACTTGATCTCTCACGAATGACTAAAGCTAATTCCTGTTTTTTCTTTTACAACTTTTATCCAGGACATTTTATTTCCTTATATCAAAGAAAATGTTAAAGAGTATCTGCAGACACACTGGGAAGAAGAGGAATGCCAGCAGGATGTCAGTCTTTTGAGGAAACAGGTTGGGACATTTCTCTCCCATTGCTTCCACATTCCCAAGAGTCTTAGAAATGAAGATGCCTAGAGACTTAGACTACGCTCTGAGCAAATTGTAAAATAAGTGCTCTGGATTCACAGGACATAGAAATTGCAGTGACTTGCCTGCTTTGGAATTTACAGTACATAATTAAATGGCCAGACCATGGCAGTTTATTGTCTCTACAATTGCCTCTTTCTGGAGCTATTTTAATTGTGTAAAGATATCATATATTTATACAACTGAGCCCTTTCTGGGTGGAACACAAAGGTTTTGTGCCCTCTTTTCATGTTTTTCATTAATGTTTCCAAGTGACAGCACCTCATCATCTTAGTCTCTACTCTCCTGCCTTCTGGCACAAGCCCCTGCTGACTCATGCACGTGCTCCTGGACCCTCACGTCCACATATTGCCCCCACACTACCTCTTATCTCAGCTCACATTTGGCTCAGCCCTCATACCAGCCTTAGTTTCATGTGCTCTGTTCTCTGTTCTCCCCAGTTTTCAGTCTCTTTTTTTTCTTCCACATGGGTTCTGTGGACCTCCTATTCTGTTGTTTTTCTTATTTGCTTTAGTCGCAAACTTCTTACATGCACAGAGCTAACTTTCTGGCAGTTATTTTCTAATTAGTTTTCTAAATTTTCTACATTGAACAATGTAGAATGCTCTCTGAATTTTTTAATGTTAGGAATTAGGATTAGAAATATAGTTACATCCTTTGGGGCATGGGATATTTGGGTTTGTTGAATTTTTTTAGGGAACTCATGGTTAGTGTAAACTACTCTCCTCCTTGCCTTTTTCTTTGTCTCAACTCTTCTTGAAACATGTTCATGTATTCCCTCATCGTAGGATATAAATCATTGAGTCTATAAATCTTTAGAGCTTGGATTTGAATAAACTGACAGTATGCATTGTCACAGGGTCATTGTTGCAAATAGCTGCTTTTGTAAGATGTGGGAGATGGCAGGAGACTGAATATAAACTAATCCTAGACATTACTTCACTAGCTTCTTTTCATTGAATTCCAGGCATAAAATAATTTGAGGTTTTCGTTGTTTTTCCCTCAGTTATAATACAGAGAAAATGATCAGATTTAATTGAAGTCCTAGTTTGTTGATCCTAATAAATGAATCAGCAAACCAGGTCTTACTATATCATTTTGTCATTCATCATGTACTCCCTCTCCTCTCACATACATCATGCCTTAGTTAAATCTCAGCTTTAGCAATATAGGAAAGGTAATGTAAATTTATTAATTATAATCCCATTTTTTTAAAGAATCATTCAAATCAGCCCCAAAGTGTAGGATACTTTAATTTATAACAGAGCTCTGTTTAATGATAGTTGGAGAAAGTTAGTCTGCTTGGTTTTCAGGTCTCATTTTAAGTGTTCTTTTTAAAAAATATGTAAGAAACAAACTTCATGTTGTTTGTGACTTGAAGGCTGAAGAGGACTCCCACCTGGATGGGGCTGTTCCAATCCCTGCTGCATCTGGGAATGGGGCGGATGACCTGCATCAGATGATCCAGGCTGTGGTAGATAACGTATGCTGGCAGATGTCTCTGGACCGAAAGACCATGGCATTGAAACAGCTGCAGGGCCACATGTGGAGAGCAGCATTCACAGCTGGACGCATGAAAGGAGAGTATGTAGCTGTTCAGGTGACTCTGAACGTGAACATTTCACTAGCTTCAAAACCAAATTCATTTTCCACTAGTCCTCCTCGAATGTTGTATGATCAGTAAAATAGATAAGATCAACATTTCATTTATTCGAACAAGTGACTGTTTTGTTTTTTCAAAGCTGGGATAAAGCATTTCACTTAGCTGAATTTCCCAAACCTGATGTTTGGCTTTGTGAGATGGTTGAAGGACTTTATATCCCAATTTTAAAACAGCTTCCTAGAAAATGATGACTTCCTTGAACTGAGTCATATTTGACCCTTTGCATACAGGTGATAACACTGTTGGGCTTCTTCCTGGGACCATTAGATTACCTCCTTTCTGATCTGTTAGAGAAGTAAGAACGCTATGAAATTATGCACCCTGTCACTTTGCAGGTACTTAGAGCATCAGCAGTGCCACTCTATTCTTTACTATTTGAGCAACTTCTACAGACCCTTTGAGTCTTGGTTGCTGAAGGAGACTCATGAGTTCTGTGTTGCTAAGAAATTCTTGGTAGGACACTGTCATTAAGGATTTTCGGCCATTGCCTGATGTAAATCCTAAGATCCAAGACCTATTTCTAGCTGTCTATATATATATATTTTTTTCCCCGTAAATGAGATCTCATTCCTTATTAATGTACTTTTCAAGGGGTTTCTACCTTTTAAAGGCTGCATTGGAATTTCAGGATGGACCAATAGTGTGGGAATATCAGCTAGATCACTTTATAAAACATTCCAAAGAATGGAGCCGGGAGACTATGCTCGAAGTACTTGGCCATTCCTTCTCTTAGTGTTGGTTCCTTAATCATAAAACCAGGACTTGAAATAAGTTATCTTGGGCTTCTCAACCTCGCTTTGGAGCAAAAACAATCTGCATATTCAACATGGAAAAGCCCTGTCTCCATGAGTGCAAAGCAACACACAAAGTAACTCATAATTTGTGTGCTGTTTTTGATCTAGTGGATCTCTTTCTTTCAGTTTGTGCAACGTATTAAACAGTTTTACCTAGTAGAGGACTTCTCAACGTTTTTCAGTTAATCTTTTAAAGATGATTGGCTCCACATCTCAAGTTCCTTGTGCTTCTCTTTTCACCCATCTCCTGTGATATTTCCACTACTGAATGTAGAAGATAACGTAGAACTGGTAATCAAGACTGAGCATCAGGAATCAGACAACTAGAAACTGTTTGCTGATTAGCAAGTGTGAGATGGTACAAGTCTCTTAGCTGATTTGTTACATAATTTTTTTTCTGTATAGTAAAACTTTAGGTTTTCTTCGTTCTCAAGAAATATAATTGTTTTCTAGGTAATCAATGATTAATAGCGTTGAGCCCCCAAACATTTTTTCTTTTAATTGTGTGGGTGTAGATCTTTCTAAAAACATTTCCATGCTTTCTTAAGGCACACTGGGCATAATTTAACCTTTTTTTTGTCATGAATTACATCAAAGATTACATAATAGTACAATATGGTCATTTGCCTTTTTGGGTTCCTTGGGAATTTAAAAAATCACTTTCTTATTTCATCCCTTTATTTGGGATCACTTTTGTCTATCATTAGTAGAGCCGTCAAAAACTGTTTGCCCCACATAAATTGTTGCTTTTAAACTTTGATCTGAGAACTCCAGTGACACATGTACTAGACCTACAGAGGTTCACAGTCTCATGGAGTTGCTTCTTGTGGAGACCATTTGAGCACAAATAGAGAAACTCGTGGCAGCTGTTTTGACTGGTTTTCATCTGGCTGGGTTACGTGTTCCTGCATTTTAACTTGGTAGTCTTCCCTCTAGGGTTTTTGAAGATGTAGTTCCAGCAGTCAGGAAGTGGAGAGAGGCTGGAATGAAGGTGTATGTCTATTCTTCAGGGAGCGTAGAGGCACAGAAACTATTATTTGGGCATTCTACAGAGGGAGATATTCTTGAGGTAGGTTACCTGATTACTATCTTTTTCGACACTATCAAAGCATGAAATAATGAATGTTAAAGGAATATACCATAGTTATAAGCTAAATCAGCATTCAGATCATTGCATATATTTTATATATTCTAAGCACACTGTAAAGGGAAATGGAAAAACAGCGGAGGTGGGGCACAATATAGGCAAGGGTGAAATATTTCTGTGGTACCAATCTTTGCATCAAAGGTTCTTAAACTTTGTTATGCGTAAGGATCACCTGGGGAGTTTATTAAAAATGTAGATACCTGGGCCCTGCTTCCTAGTAGCAAATCTGAATAGTCAGGTCTAAGTCATTCTGATGACAATAGTACTAGAACCACATATAAAATACAAGTAACAAGATATGAGCTAACTTGTAAATCGGCTTATCTTGCCAATATTAGAAAATTGTCAACCCAAAGGAAACTAATGGCATGCTGCTTTGGTTGTTTGAAGTAGCAGGTAAATGTAAAATAGTGACAGGCTACTATTCCCCCCAAAATAACAAGACTTTTTGAATGCAGCAGAGTACAAGGTGAATTGTTAATTTCTGGTATTTTAGAGAGAGACAGATTTTATTTTAGCAGAACCTGTATTATGTAAGAGAACTGGGGACGTTATTAAACAGTGATAAGTTAAGGCCACTTGTTATGTTTCTTGTACATGAAAAAATTGCTGCTAACCCCTCTGTCCTCCCATCCCTATGCCCTCTGGAAGACAGGGTGTTCATTGGCAGGAAGGAATACATTTAGGGCTTCAAAAACTCAATACAGGCTGAACTTAGTCACATACAACAGTTCACTGAGCCAGCTGTTATTTAAAATAAATATTTATCGAGTCTCTACCATGTACAGAGAACATTTGGGCTTTGGAGAGTGTACTATTCTCATTTTAGTACTTTCCTGCTTCTCATCTTAGTTCTAAATCACATATTAAATAAGTAATAAAGTCTTCCAATTACTGGTAACTGTTGTCCTCTGAATACAGATGTAAGCTTCTTTTTTGCTCTCCGTTGTAACAGACAATAAGGTGAATACAGGTATGATTATTACCTACTGAATTAAATAATAGAAACTTTATTCTCTAGTTATTGAGGCAGATTTGAGAAAAAGAATATACAAGACCAGTCTTTTTAAAAGTTAAAAATATCATATTAATATTACCTTAATTTGTCTTTGAATGATTATTAGGCTTGCTTTTAGTTTGCAAAAAGTTCTGAAAATATTACAGAGATCACATTGTAAAAGCTGATCCTTAATGTGTACTTATTTTAATCACTGTTGTATAAATTATCAAGTTATTCATTTGACCCTAATTCTAAGACAGCAAGGGTATATATACTAGCTCTTGGGTAGAATTTCAAAATGTTTTAATCAGAAAATGAAAGTTTCTTAAAAGGAAAGTAACAACTTACTAATTAGGCAGGTTAGAGAAATCCTTTCATTCTTGGATTAAAAGGACAATGTTCAGAACCTTTCAGCAGGCATGAAACTTTCAGTCCAATAAGTAGTTTGACTGCAAATAGTGTTTCAAGGATAGAAAGTAGGACATGTATATTTAAAAGGTTTTGGTTATAAAATTAATGCTAATGAAAGAAAAGTAGATTATAAAATGATCTTAATATATGTTGAATTGGTAGTTTTCCTCAAATATTTATTGCTATAAAATCTTTACATTTACTGTTTGTAGCCTCCATAAAGTTCTCTATTAAACAGTGGGTGAAGTCACTATAATTGTCATATTTTCAAAGATAAGGGGTGAGAGAAAAAGGGGTCCAGGTTGCAGGTGTGTTTGTAATGTCATACTTTCTCCTTCTCTGTATTCAGCTTATTGACGGTCACTTTGATACCAAGATTGGGTACAAAGTGGAGAGTGAGAGTTATCGAAAGATTGCAAACAGCATCGGGTGCTCAACCAACAACATCTTGTTTCTGACGGACGTTACTCTAGGTGAGTGATCAGACTTCTTACTCCAGATGAGAGCTGAGCCTGGCACTGCAAACATGTTGTGTCTTTAAAGAAAGTTTTTGTGTGGATCCTTGAAAAATAAAACCATTTTATAAAAAGAAATAGTGAACAGCCAACCCACCTCCCTCTCCATTTTTCCATCTTTGGGGGTTGTGTGTGGGGAAGTGGCTTTGGAAAAACAAATTATTCTCATTTTAACTCTTTATCCACGGTTCCTGACCCAGCCCTTTGCACACACACACACACACAGATGAAATGGGAAAATAACAAAGGATGACTTAAGGGGTATCATTGTGGAGAGGAGCATGCAGGCAAGAATATGAGGGTAGGTCCATGGCTAGCTAAGGACAATAAAGTCACAGACCTGCATCAAATGTATTTTAACAGCAGCAAGATACAGAGATTGAGAGAGTGAGAGAGAGAGATTGAGATTCATATATACAATGGAATATTACTCAGCCATTAAAAAGGTGAAATCCTACCATTTGCAACAACATGGATGGACCTAGAGGTTATTATGTTGAGCGAAATAAGTCAGATAGAAAAAGATAAATACTATTTGATTTCACTAATATGCAGAATCTAAGGAACAAAAAGAACAAACTAATCAAAAACAGACTCACAAATATAGTGGACATTTTGGGGACAGACAGAGGGGAGGAGGATTAGGAGGCTGGGAGAATTGGGTGAAGGGTTGAAGAAGTACAAATTAGTAATTGATAGATGGTCACGGAGATGGGGAGCATGGCATAGGGAATGCAGTTAGCATTAATATGATGGCTATGTGGAGGGCCAGGGGGGAGAGGGAGCAGTTGCGGGGATCATTTTATGAACTATATAGATGTCTAACCAATGTATTGTATACTTGAAACTAATTTAAGTAAATAAATTTTAAAAAAGAGTAGTTTTGATCAAATGTAAAACACTCAAGTGCCTGGGTAAGAATGTAAATTCTCTGGAGAATTACAGGGGGAAATGTTAGTGAATGAAGAAACAAGCAGTGGCAGGCGAAGAGGGTGCTGGGTAAAAGTGGTCTCTGTTATTCTTACCTGAAAGCCTCTGGTTGATGAGGCTGTCTCACATTGCCCTACCTGGCCCTGGCTTTTGATTGCATGGTTAGTCTCCTTATTGATGTGCATCTCTCAGGGGGCCTACTTTTGGTATGTTTTTGTAATTGCACCTGTATTTGAGGGTAGTTCTATACATTTGTGTTTCTTCCACTTTTCTTGGATTGTAAGTTTCACCTTCCATTTACCCCTAGAACAGGGCTTTGTGTACTGTGCAGCTGCTCCAACATACTTTGTGCCAAAGGGCTGGGCAAGGGTGTTGAGGCAAAAGAGACAGGGGGCAGGGAGTGCTCTCTTGCCTAGTTTACTCCATGTGGCTCCTGGGCCCCTTGGAGGCAGCTTTAGCATCTATCGGAGTTACTTCTCTCTCCAGCCCTTCTGGCTGTTGTCACAGAACTAGAGTCACCCCTACTCACTAGGACTTTCAGATATGGGGCTTAAGGGCAAATCCAGGCTGCTGGAAAAGGCATCTTACCTGTGGTAGTACATAGAAGTACTATATTTTTTCTACCGTCAGCCCTTGAGCTTTTGTCTCATGTTAGGCAAGAGTTGTAGGTATATAAGCTCGTACTGATTTGCTAAGCAGTTTTGAATAAAACCTTAACCAGCATAGATCATCTAATGCCTTCAAGAAGTTATACATTTTCCAGAGAAAGAGGGGTGAAACAGACTTAATTTCACCTACATACAGTAGATGTTCAGTAATTGTTAATATATTTATTAAATTTCAGGAGTTGGTGAAACTAACCTGGAATTTTTGATCTAAGTAGATAGTATTTAGTGGGGTTCGGCCCCTGTCCTTCAAGTTCTGGCTTGGCTCAATTTGAGTCCAAGGGTTTCTACAAACTGGCGTCTCAGTTTTTCTACATCTTGGAAAGCTTTACATTTACTGAAGATGAGACAGACAGATGCATGGACACACTGCTTCAAGGTTCATTGTGTAACTAGATAGCCAGGCCACTTAAATAAATGTACCATCATCAAACATTAGCCTTAACAACACACATTTGCCTAGCCTCTACTTTGAACTGTAAATTTACTGTAAATGTTTGCCTATTGTATTTCTGTGTAGAAGCCTCTTACTGATTCAAAGCTACAATATACCCTCTTCCTAGAATGGCTTTTGAGGGTTTAGAGTGATGAGGTGAGGAGGGTACTTTAATGTCTACGTAAGTCAGGAGTGTACCAACAGTTTCTGTGAGAAGTGATAATTTTGCTCCTTATGAAAAGGAGACAGGCCTTGTTCTGGTGAGTTTGTCTGGTTTAATCTGAATTGCTTTTCTTTGACCATTCGCATAAAGGGAGCTATTAGAGATGAAAATCTGTGGTTTGCTCTATATTTCATTTCCTTAGCATTTCGTATTTTGAATGGTAAGTTTCTGCAGGCTTAGAATTACAGATCTGTTTTGTGTCTGGAGCTCCCCACAAAGCCAACCTGTCTGAGCATTTTGTGAGACCCAGATCCTTGCTGTATCTCTCCCTTTTTGGTTACTATTAATAATTATATCCACCCTAAGGCCACTTACAGTTTCTTCATAGTCTTGTCTTGAGCCACATTTTTTTTCTAGTCGCCATCAGAATATATCTATAATTTCAGGTCTTTTTCACGTAAGCCATTTCCTTAGGTTACAGTCCCAGAAGTTATTCCTATTCTTTTTAGAGATTAGAGATAATCTCCAAGTTGGCCTCATAATAAATTTGGCTCCCTCAGAGCCCTCCACAAAGAAGTTTTATTCCTGCCCCTCATCTTCTGCCAGTCCTACATCCAGCAGTAGAGCTAGAACTGGTCTTATCAGTAGCTGACTGTTTGCCTTGTTCTTGTTTTTTATCTCTGATCCTGTGTTTTGGTACCATAAGCCCAGACTTCCATTGCCAAGGCAGAGTGGAAGACTAAGTGATACCTATATAATACCCAAGTATAAAAGAGAGAACTGAATGACTTTTTTCTTTTGGAGGAAAGGACGGTGGTCCAGGGTTTTAAGCCAACAAATATTAATTAAATGTTTCAGTATTATACAAATAGAGCAAAAAGATGCTTAGGGACAAATCTTGGCCTTTGGTGATCTTAGTGAGAGGCTGAATGCATAACAGTCACTAGCTAGTGTCAAGTCCCACTCATGGGACGAGTGACTCAGTTTGATGGAGATCCTGGATTGCTAGTTAAGAGGAAAGATTTGCATGAGGCAGTCATGCTGGGAACCAGGGTGGAGAAATGGAAGCCAGCTAGCTGCCTCTTCGCTGGAATGAATGGCATCTGTAGAGTTTGTCTGAGGAAGGGGTTGTTTTGCACTTTTTTTGCTCTGAGACTGTCAAAGCCCTTTCAAAGGAAGAGCAGAAGATAGACATTTGAGGAGGTGGGTATGAGGAAGAGACAGCTCCGCTCCACTTACTCTCTCTGGAAACTCCTTATCTCTGAGCACTGCTGCCCTTAAATGAATTCATTCAGATGCTGCAACTGCTTTCCAAAAGTTGAGACACTACTGAGGTTTCTTACACCAAATCTAAATTCCATAGAATGTGTTTCAAGTTCTTCCCCAGTTTCTATCTGTCCAAGTATGCCCTACCTCTGACCTGTATCCTGCCTCCCATACTCACTTGCTCCATTCTTGCAATATTTTCATATGTATTTTATGTTTGCTTAGACTGCCTCTTCTCTTGCCAATTTTCTTTCCTTGAAATTTTTAAAAATCAAATCTCACCCGCTGTCCAGGAGTCTTTTATTAAATAGCGGATCCTAATTCAGTAATTTTACATTGGGGACCTGAGATTCTGCATTTTTAACAAGCTTCCAGGTGATTTCCACACTGCTGGTCCATAGACCACACTCAGAGTAGTGGTACTCTGTGGTAGGTTTTGACAAACTTGTTCTGTAAAGGGCCAGACAGTAAATACTTTAGTCTCTGTCACAACTATTCAGCTCTGTACTTATAGTGCCAAAGCAGCTACAGATAATACACAGAGGAATAGGCGTGGCTGTGTTCCAATAAAATTGTATTTACAGAAACAAGTGGCGGGCCATCATTTGCTGACTCTTTGGAGCACAGACCACAGAGTCAGACTGACAGTTTCAAACTTTAGTTCTACTGCTTGCTAGCTCTGAGTTTCCATATTCATAGAATAGAGATAATAATACTACCTCAGGGTTGTTGTGAAGATTTAGATGCAAACAGGAGCTCCATGAAGGCAGAAGTTTAGTTCTCTTCCTTGAACAGTACCTGGCATATAGTAGGTGCTAAATTAATATAAAATATTAGCTGTTAGCTTTCAAATGGAAACAGTGGAGAGAGGAATGTAGCCCAAGACATTTTAGAGATATTCCCTAAGATAACCTAGCTTACCTGCTTTCATTTTCCTAGTCCTATTTTTACTTCTACGTACCATGCAGTCACTGATCTTAAGGCACTCACAGTCTAATGAGGAGAGAGACAACAAGTAATAGAGTGTCAGTTCATATTGTTGTGATATAGCTAAATACAGGCTGTTAAAGTAGCACACAGGGTGCTCTAGTACATGGTAGTGGTTTGGGAAGATACTTGAGCTGAATCCCAAAGAGTAGGAATTTTCCAGGCAAAAAAGATAGGCAGTCTAGCCAAGGATTGTGACATGTTTGGGCTCTGGATATGAGAGCAGGTATTTTGTCCTGAGTAGATCCTAGGATTCCATTTGTCCCATATCTCCTTAATTGGTATTATTCTTGACAACCTGCCTATTGGGAAATAGCTCATTTCTCTCTCAGACTCATGGACGGGAATGAAGGAAAGTTGTGGACAGAGCATGTCTCTGTCTTGCATTTATAAATACTTAATAAAGTTCAGATACCTAAGATATACTGTCATTCTAGTCTGTCAGGTACAATTATGTATTTACATTTTTTATAACAAAAATTAAAAGCTATGAAAGAGAGAATAATATAATCAACACTCACGTGCCCACCTTCCAGCTTCAACAATGACCAAATCCGGGCCAGACTTGTTTCTTACGTTCCCACATGATTACTTTGAAGCAAACCTCAGACATCGTCTTTTGACATTTCTGATACATGTTTTGGTTTTCAGAGGCCAGTGCTGCTGAGGAAGCGGACGTGCATGTGGCTGTGGTGGTGAGACCCGGCAATGCGGGACTAACAGATGATGAGAAGACTTATTACAGCCTCATCACATCCTTTAGTGAACTGTACCTGCCTTCTTCAACCTAGAGGAGGATTTCTAAGGAAGCCCCAACTGTCTTCACAGAGCTGTCCCTGTAGTCTAGTTTTATTCTAATGGTAAAGTAATTTACTTAAAAAATATACATAAACACACATGTATGTATGCAAGTATATAAATGTGTGTTCAGATTACCTTTCACAGGCACATAAGTGGGAAAAAATCTCAGTTCAGTGAAAAGGAAACTTATTTAAAGATGCTTTATATGTAGAAATTGTTTGAAACCATAGCTCTAACCCATATTGCAGGTAAAATGTAATTGATAGAAGAAACTACAATACAGGTCAACTGTATTATGTTTATCAAGTTTTGTACCAAAATGGAAAGGTAGGTTCGAGATGTTATTCAGAAGCCTTGTTATTTTAAAAACTGGAAGTATTCCAAAGACTTACTCCTAATAATAATTCATCCCCACTTTTCATTGTAAGTTAGAAGATTACAGCAGTTGAATTTCAAAATACTAGCTTCCCTACATACAAAAGACAAAGCTATTTCTGCTCCAAAAGAGAGCAAAATTGGGAAAGGAGCTTATTTGTTACTTAAAAAATTTGCTGATCATCGTGGCACCCTCAGCAAGCAGTTGCCTTACCAGTAAAAAAGGTGTACTGATATAACAGTAGATATATCAGTGTAGTTCTTAACATCTTAACATTTTTAACGAAACAGTCCGAATCCTGCCATTTATTATCATTATAGATTTTATAGTTACCTTTCTAACTCCTTAGCACAGTTTGAGAATATATGTTCATTGCTATTTACTGTTTAAAAAAGGTTTACTGATAGCAGTTTATAAGACCCAGAAGACCCCTAATATGTACTATTTTCCTCTGAAATGGCTGTGAGAAATGTAAATTTTATTTATCCTGGTTAAATTCTAATGGGATGTTATGTTAATTTCATGTTATGATTAATAAAAACATTTTCTTCACTCATTTTGTGTGGGTCCCTCAACTATACCACATAACTGCCGTAATCAAAAGAAAAACTGTAGAAATTGAAAAAGTAAGAATTTTATTTTAGTTTTTGCCTTAATCATTGTGTATGTTTTAATGGAATGCCATTGGAAAACCATGGACTATTATTTGAGTTCTATATACATTGCTTATTGGTTTTTTTCATCTGGATAGTAAACATTCAGGATATGAGTGGGGTTTTTTAGGTTTGGGGGACTCTTACACTTGAGGTATATAAGATAATGCTTCAGGGAGGCAATTCTTCTAATCAAGAAAAACTCATGAATCCTGGGGGAATTTTGAGAATGCTTTGAACAAGGAATAGGAAGTAGCCTTGCAAATATGAGAGGACAGGGAATATAAAAGATTTTTTTTTGTTGATAATTATCTTCTAATAGCTAATTAAGAAATCTAAGGGCTATGAAAATCCAGAAGAGTAGTAAGAAGGAAATTAAATAAATCTTGGAAAGGGAAGTAATTTATAAATGATGGTGAAGCCACAGATTGTAATAAAAGGTTGAACTCCATATAATTTCTGAAAAAGCTCATGAGAAGATAACAGAAAAGGGTGTCTCTTAATGATAGTCAAGGGATAATTGGAAAAGTAAGGAAGAAATGAGAGAAAAATTATGCACCAAGGTCTAGATTGGAAAGGAAAAGGAGCGTGCTCATGGTCCAGCCAGCGAGAATTGAGGTGGAGAGGTGTCTTAGTCCCTTCAGGCTACTATAACAAAATATCAGAGATCAGGTAGATTGTAAACAAAATTTTATTTCTTACAGTTCTGAAGGCTGAGAAGTCCAAGATCATGGTACTGGCAAATTCAGTGTCTGGGCACTAATCCTATTCATGAGGGTTCTGCCAAGCCTTCCCACTTTCAAATACGTTACCTTGAGGGTTAGATTTCAATATGTGCAGTTGTGGGGGACACAAACATTCAGTCTATACAACAAGACATTTACAGTCCATGATAAAAAGGGTACCAGAAAAACTAGTTAATTATTTTGAGTAGTTGAGGACAAATAGATTTTAATAAAGAGAAAGTTGCAATATCATTCAGTTTGTCAAAGAGGGGTGCAAAAGTGAGGGAAAAGGTGAGCATAATATTTCTTAGATTCTAAGAAACTCACAGTGTGATAGAAAAGGATCTTAGGAGCAACTTGAGGTGTAAAGTAGACTGGTCGTGAAGGAGGAAAATGCCTAGAAAGTGGGTAGTGAGCTAGGAAGTAAATCCAATAAATTCATGGTCCTTAGGAAAGGAGGAGAAATCTCATCTCTGGAATTTCTAAAAAGAGAACAAAGGCACTAAGGTTTTTTCAATATCCTGTTAGCAGAGAATACAGGGAACGAATGTCTCTTGACGTTGTGGCCCTTTTAATTCCTGTTTGTTAATCTAAAACTACCTCAGTTGTGCTCTTTCCCACAATGGCGCTGATTTTCAATCTTGGGTCAAAATCCAAGTTGGTTTCTTAGAAGAGAAGCCTCAGACACTTTTAATCTTATTAGCAATTCTGGAGTTGCAGGGCTTCCTCTTTGGCTTTCTGGAAGGCTGGCCTTAGTTGCTAAGCCTACTGGTCTCCAGTTCAGAGTTGCAGAAGTAAAGGTTGAGAGCCACTGGTCCCTATTGCCAATGCAGGTGCACAGTAGCCTTTGTCCAGCAGATGGTGCTATTTCTCCAGCGACCTCATCAAGTGTGAGGCCACCAGATACAGCAGATGGAGCTAAGAGGTAGCATTAAGAGAAAAATGAATTTAATTTATCCTTAAAGGGCAATAGCATATTGCAAGGATCAAGAGTAGTTTGGGGAAAAATGGCCATAATCCTGAGTGCAATCTACCCACTAATATTTCGCTTCCCCCTTTGCCCCTGAGTCCCATTTTAAAAAGTAGGTGATTTTTGGATAGACAGTTTTTTTTAGCTGCAGTGTTAATAAAAAGGACTTGTTTTCAGGTTTTAAAAATTCTAATCAGAGCATGAAGGTGAATTAATATGTGCCAAAACAATTTATTACCCATGCCCAGATGGTAAAATGCTATTATTTTTAACCTAATTTAAGAATAATTTGTAGTTTTTGCTAACACAATGGAATAATTCTAACAGAAGTAGAATTTACCTTCCTTTCAGATTTAAACCAAACCATTCATTCAAATATTGACTAAACTCTATAATGTGCCCGGGATCTGCTGTAAGGGGCACAGTCCCTCCGCACTTTTATGGTACACACATTCTTAGAGGAGGCAGCCAATAAATAGTGACAAACAACAAAAAGTTAGCAATAAGTGCTATATTGAGAAGATAGAGTGGCTTTTTACAGTGGGGTGCTAAGAAGGTAACATCTAAACAACATGAAAATGTAAGAAATTAGAAGGAAGAGAATTTTATGAAGATGGAACAGCATATTGTAAAGATCTAGGTCAAAGCTTGAACTATTCTAGGAATTGAGAGGAGGCCAATGGCTGGATGCTGTCAGAGAAGTGGGCAGACGCCAGAGCGTTAGAGCATGGTACCACAGTAGAGTTTGAGTTGTATTCTAAGTATGGTGGGAAGCCACTGGAGAATTTTGAACAGAAGATGACATAATGTGATTTACATTAAGAGAATCTCTCTTTGGAGAATGGGTTATAGGCAGGTAAGAGTAGATGCAGGAACACCAGTTAGGTATATCAGGGTTGAGTGCCAAGTCAGAAACAAGTTGAGGTATTTTATTCAGAAAGGGGTTTAAAAACAAGGAATGAGACATTTACAAAGTTAATGGCAAGGACTGGAGTAGTATTTGGGGGGACTGCTGCTGGACTGTGGAATTGAAGGGTACCCATACTAGTTGAAATCCAGAGTTCAGGAAGCCTGCCACCCCTGGCACTACTACTTAATCCAGGAAGCTAGGCAGACACCGGAATGTGGAGTCCAACCATTACAGCTTCCTCTAAACACTTGCACTCTCTGACCTTGCTTCTCAACACCAATACCCGTGGGAAGATTGCCTCCCTTGCTTCTCTTTATAAACTTTATACTAGTGCATTTAATTGGCAGTATCTAATTCCAACCCAGATCTCTACATGGGAGGGTCTCTGGGACAAGGTTTTAGGTTTCTAACTTCTTCAATTAGCAGATAAAATGGTTCTTGAGGGAGCCAATCTACTCAATCTAAGAAGGCTATTGCAGTTATGAAAGTAAAGAATGGTGGTGGCCTGCCTTAAGATGGCAGTATTGGAAACACATGGAAGCGGACACATTCAGAATATGCTTTAGAGGTGACAATAGCAGCACTTATTTATTGATTGGGTTCAGAAGGGTTAACTCCTAGATTTTGTTGCTTGAGCAAATGGATAGGTGGTGCCACTGGAAAAACAGTGATACCACTGACATAGTGTGTAAAGGGTGAAATTGCCAATGTACACGCCAGTATAGACATGACCAAAATGCAGTTGTATTTAAGTCTAGAATTCAGGGCCTAGATTTGGGAGTTCATTGGTCTAGCGGTGCTATTAAAAGCCGTGGGATGTTTTCACATAAGAAGAGTCTGTTGATAGCTTAGACAGAGCCCTCGGTCCAACATTAGAGATTAAGCTAAGGAGAGAAGCCAGCAAAGGAGATGGAGAAGGAAAACTGGGAGGGTGGCAGGAGATCCAAATGAAGAGAGTGCTCAAATGTGTCAAGTGCTGATGAGAATTTTTTATATATAGAATCCTACAGCACCTGGTATTCCTAGGTGGTCTCCCATCCAAGTACTAATGAGGCCTGACCCTGCTTAGCTTCCAGGATCAGATGAGATCAGGCACGTTCAGGGTGGCATGGCCATAGACTCACTGATAAGAATTTAAGTTGAGAATAGCAGTGGCCCTTGGATTAAACAAGTGCAATCTCAGTGGAGTGGTGGGAACAAAAGTAAGATTACTTTGAATCTGAGGTCTAGCTAAAGGTTTATCGATTTTGTTGATCTTTTCAAAAAACCAGCTTCTGGTTTTTTTTGATTCTCTATTCTATTTATCTTCACATTATTTCCTTCCTTTTGCTTGCTTTGGGTTTAGTTTCCTCTTCTTTTTATAGTTCCTTAAGGTGAAAGCTTATTGCTTTGAGATCTTTTTTAATGTAGTTATCTATAGCTCCAAATTTCCCTCTGAGCACTGCTTTCACTGCATCCCATAGACTTTGGTATCTCGCGCTTTTGTTTTCATTCATCTCAAAGTATTTTCTAATTTCCCTTGTGATTTCTTCTTTGATCCATTGGTTATTTAAGAGTGTGTTGTTTTGTTTCCACATATTTGTAAATTTCCTTCTGTTATTGATTTCTAAATTCATTTTGTTGTACTTGGAGAACATATTTTGTATGACTTTGATCTTTTAAAATTACTGAGACTTGTTTTGTGTCCTAACATATGGTCTATTTTGGAGAATGATCTTTGCGTACTGGAAAATGTATATTCTGCTGTTGTTGGGTGGAATGTCCTATAGATGTTCGCTAGGTCTAGTTGATTTGTAGTGTTGAGTATTTTGTTTCCTTGTTGATCTTCTAGTTGTTTTATCCGTTATTGAATGTGGAGTATTGAATTCTCCATCGATTATTGTTGAACTATTTCTCTCTTTGATTCTGTCTGTTTTCACTTCATTTATTTTGCTGCTCTGTTTTAGGTGTATACATGTTTATAATTCTTATGTCTTTTTGATGGATCAACCCTTTAACATTATAATGAATGTCCGTCTTTGTGTCTTTTAACAGTTTTTTGTCTAAAAGTGTATTTTGTCTAATATTAGTAGAGCCACTCCAGCCCTTTTGGTTATTATTTACATGGCATATCTTTTTTCATCCTTTTACTTTCAACCTAATTTTGTCTTTGAATCTAAAATGTGTCTTGTATACACAGCGTGTAGTGGATTATGATTTTAAATCCATTCTGCCAGTCTCTTTTAACTGAAGAGTTTACTCCACTGCATTTAATGTAATTACTGATAAGGACTTCCTTCTGTCATTTTGCTACTGGCT